GTATGATAATTTCGTCCACTACCAACTATTGTTTGTTTGCGACCGTTTCAGCCACCGGCCACATTGTCTTTCATTATTTCGTTAATTCTGAATACAAACATTATTCACTCTATCACGGGCTTTGTGCGGCGACGTAGCCATTCAAATATCTCGCAGTTTTGCTCTTTTACCCCGAGGTTAGGTGAAGTGTCATTGCGGTTTGTTTATTATTCCTCAATTTGTCTTCCATTGTCTCCGCAGCCACCTCTTTGCGTCAAAAAGCGTTTCGTGAGAATGTTATCCAGTTTTGATAGAATAAAGGTTTCTTCGGTAACACTTAGTGACAACATCGTGGGCTTCAGGGTAAAACGTGACATATACGAAGGACGTTTACGGATCTCTGAACACAGGCATGTTAAGATCAGCCGGATCATTACTAGTTCAGAATTTCGGGTTACCTCGATATTGTCAGTTTTACCTGTTTCACATCCTAAAGTAAGTTCACACCGTGATATTTCAGTCACTAATTTGTAGATTATCAATTAATTCAACCACAAACTCAACAACAATTACACTCACTTTACGTTAGATTTATACCGTGTTGTGACAGAAAATGTTTGATCACTGGGATTTCGTGGTAATCTAAAAACAGGCTTACTGACGAAAAAATGCCAATTTAGCCGTCAGAGAGAGACTCCCGCCGACACATGTGACAAAAACATCGACTCCAGATGTCAACTGTCGGCGAGAACAGAGGCCGGGTATGTGGGAGTGTTGCATGCTGCCGGAGTGATCCAGTTGGCAGCGAGGTGTTGGACAAAGAGGTGGTTACATTGCTGCGTGCCGAGGCCGAGAAGTGAGGTTCTGGCGGCTACCGTGGGCCGCAGTGTAGCCTCGGCATTATTAATAGGCCGCGCGGCAACGCAGCTGTATTAATTGATAGCGGAGACGACTTCTGTAATAGAACTACTGGCAATCTCGGTAATAACCGGACCCGTTCTTTATTTTGTAGCAGAAGACAGGTCAAACAGGATTTTGAATGATTACACATCGAGTGTTTTCGATAACGTGTTATTATACGGCGCGGGCATTTCGTACGTCTTCCCGCCAATTTGGCCTGTCCCCGTTGCGATTGTTTCATTTCCCTAATTACGAAATCATTTTAATATATTACGTATAATTTCAGCCGTTACCGCGTAGAGCGGGCAACGAGCCACGAATAATAATGCTTTTAACGAATTCAATTCGCGACGTCATCGCTTTTAATTACCCTAATGGGCACACTTGTCGCGACGCGTGAAGAATTAACGTGTCGATATTCTGTATAATTACTGTAGAGCGCAGGTCGAGATGCGTGTCCCATGGTGCGTCATCAGCGACGGATTTGAATTATGGTAATTTTAATCGATCATTCCTTATCGGCCTAATAATGGTCATCGAAAGCTAAAGACTCGGTTCGTTATAGTGTAGAATATAAGTGGTCGTCCCAAGGTCAAAACCGTTATTAAAAGTGATTTTTTACTAGATTAAAAATACGTCTAGAAAATGACAATGTATCGCCCATTAATGCGTCTGCTGAATAAATCATGTACTCGCGGTGCACATAATTCAGGATATTAAAACGTAATTTATACGCCATGTTTATTCAACAGGAATCGATTGTTCGACGCGGTCGACGTCCTAGAAGCAGACCGAAATCAATCCGAAGCCAAAACGCGATCCTGCCAAGATACCACAAAACGAAGCCACTTTTCTCGCCAACAGCTATCAGGAAAGAAATAAACAGCGTTTCATATTCAGCTGTGTTGCGTGCGGAAGAGAGATTTGAATAAAGACAATTTGTATTCGAGGCCATCTCGACCCGTAATGAAGCGAAGTACAAATACAGTTTTATTGTGCTTGTAACCTTACATTGTCGTCTTCAACTCTCAAATTGAATCTCAGCATCTAGTAATATTGTAATCAGTTCTTTTACGTAATAGCGAGAGTTAAAGTATTATATTTACCAACCAGATGGTACAATAGTAATAATAAACACATCTGGAATAAAACTAATAGGATTTATTTTTTACAAAGAAGCCGTTCATAAATTTCTTTTTCATAAACGTAAAACAAATTTCTTTAAAAATGTAACGTTTGTACTCACTTCAAACATATTTAGTCCAGCTTCCTAGACGAACCCTCCACAATTGTACTGTGAAACTAATACTGAACTTAACAGTAATAATCGCTGGTCGCTCTCACCCAGGTTAAGTTGGAAGAGTTATTGGCTCTAGGTCAAGTGCTCCTCCCAACTCGAGGGGTGGTCGATTTTCAAAAAGCTCTGCTAGCAATTCACCCTCGTTGCAACCAGTATTTAACACAGTGTATTTCTGAAGTGCATACTATTTCACGTACATAAATTAATTTCCTCGGAACCGTTAAATACACATTTAATACTATGTTTGTATGTTAAGTAATATATTTCCACGTGTACACAAAGCACGCAACTGGGATCAGGGAGAAAAATGTCCCTCGTTTCAGATGGAGGGGAACCAAATGAGACGAACTAAGAAATGAATGTCATCCTTCCTCCTTGGTGATACGGGGGAGCAGAGAGATCTTGTTACATGATTAGTGAGCAGGATGTAACATGTGCATTGAGTCTCAAATCCAAAATACAAAATACTTCTTCGGGCAATGGTGCAATATGTATAACGTAATAATCGTGGGACCTTTACAGGTGAACCGTGTGGGCAAGATTTAAGACTTATAAATAGTAAACAACGTAGGCTACTTTTGAATCGTTAATCAGTGGGTTTTTACTAACGGGTAAATAAGGGGAAAAGGGAAAGTACAAATAGACAAAGAGGGGAATTAAAGGATTAGGATTTAGAAAGTTTCTTGACATTGGGATCGAAACCTTGAACAATCTCTAGTGTTTATCCCAAAAATGAACTACTTTGCAACATTAAAATTATGTTAAATTAAATTTTAATTTTATGAGATCATTTTAATTTTCAGTTGCAGTCTTTTACATTTGAAATGTATTATAGGCTGTCTGTGTCCATCAATCAGATGTTCAACCAAGGTCGTACAAAATTAAAATAAGTGTGATCCTAATTCATTTATATATTACAATATCCAACTAGAAAGTTTATTCACTTAGTTTCCTTACGATACACCATTGTGAAGACATCTCGATTCAATTGCAAGACATGCAGTATGGGAATTTACAAAATTTATAACACATTCGTTGAAATAACAACTTCAACTGCGTCAGGTTATAATACGATAGTTTATCGCCACGACCTAATTATTTTACACGGTGTAGCGTTGCGAATTCGATTAATCGCGGATACGAATCACTGCTAGGATCCCAGTCGAGTTACGAGCCGCTAAGCCACGGACTGGTTCTTGGATATCATAAAAACGGATAAAAATACCTGTCTGCGTTATGGCGGCTAAACGCTTTCCGTTTTGCATTTTATTTGACTCTCAGACCTGCTGGTATTATTTATCGATCGTTTTACCTCCTTTTTATGCGCCTTGGACTGGATGTTGAAGCGATAAAGTGATTTCATCCGTATGTTTGGGTGTGTATTTGTGAAGGCGTAATATTTCAATAGATTTATTAGAATGGATCAGGTGGTGAAATCCAGGAAATGTTGTACTCTGAAAAGTGTTTCTATGTTAACTATTACTTGAAGTTTAACCAGATTCATAATTGCTATGGGTACTTTGGTATTACTCCGACCACACCTAATAATTATAACATAACCTAACCTAAGGGTGGTTAGATTAGATTCGGTTAAGTTAGGTTAGGTTAGGAAGACATGAACGATACTCTTTACTATATTATATATTCAAACCAAAATACGAATAAAATTGAATATTTACCATAAAATCAGATAAAAATTGTGTTGACTTTATCAACGTATCCGAGTGCATTAAGAACACACCAAAGGATGAGATACAGTATATAATTATGTAACTGTAATATACAAAATTATTGAAGCCAGTGTGAAACTAATGAAATATAAATACTGAATCCGCATGCATGCGAAACTGTTAGATCATTGCAATAGTCTCTCATCCTAACGAATAATCTTTGACACACAAGTTTGCATAAGATTCATTAAAACACTTTTACCTAAATGATTTAAAAGGCCTTAGTCACAACACAGTGGAGTGGATTAACAAATTATCTGTCATTAGTTTTAATGTTTATGTTTATAACAATAAAAAGTCACACAATTACCAAACTAACGTCATCAAAATTCATTACCAAGCGAAGAGGCGCTCCTAAATGTTATGATTGTAATGAAATTCGCCGATAAAACTTCGATTAGAAATGATTACCGGTGATCGAAACTCATTAAACCGACATAAACATTTGATGGAACTTTGGCCGTAGCTGTCTTACTGGCTGTAAATACTACAGTAAAACAATCAATTATGTTGTCAATTAGAGTTTACAATGTAATGTTTCTATTACCCTAATTAAGTATTAGATTAGCAATACGTTTTCGGATGCTTAAATAGTTTCAAATAGGCCTAATAGTAATACTAAAATTGACAAACAATAGTGCCAGTTTTTTCATCGTTATCACAGAGAAATAAAATTGAATAATAACATTTCATGAAGACATTGCCCATTAAGGTTATTTAGTTGGTTTACCGTATTTTTAAGATATAACTTTTAGCAAATAGGTCAGTTTAAAGATATACATTTAGAAATGTATGCGTAATACTAGCCGACTTGTTAACTTTTATGATACAAGTTCTTAACAGAATCTTAGCCTCTTCAACACTTCTTGAAACTTTGTTTCTCTGAGTTTGAGGAGTCTGGAATGATGCCTGTTGCTCGAATAGAAGGGAGGGGTTTAAATTGTTTACACATACGTTTTTATTGTCCAAAATATGTAAAAACAAGAAGAGATATTTGTTCCTATGATGTTCTATTTGTATTTTCAACCAATTGTGTACTAAATGTACTTAATAATTTAATAATATTCTAATAAATGTATATTTTGTTCCAGATTGAAGAGCTACCAGTTCTTCCTGGACCTGTGCTCTTACGTTGAATCATCGAAGTATCTTAAGATCATCGTTTCGTCGCTTTTGTTCAACTCGTCAGCATAATTTATTGTTCAGTCATAGTCATATGGACTTATATTCCAATTATTGATATTTATACGTGTTTTATATTTATTATCGTTTATGTATTTTTTACTTAAGCTTTCTTGTGTAATGTTCCTGATTTGAGTAAGAGTATTCGAATGTAAGCTCTGGGATTCGCTGAGTATTGTAACTGTGTATTTTATCAATACGGTATTTGTTAACTTTTCAATTGAAATAAGGTGCTTTAAATATTTAAATGTTGCAATTTTGTTAAGTAAATTTTATAATCATTTCTATATATTTAAAAACAATATTGTGTGTTTTTGTATTTATAATCATAGTTTGTTTTATTTTAAATTTGGATTTTAATAGCTGTATTAAACATATTTTTTATTTATTTTACTGAAACCAAATATGAGTTTTGTCATGTATCTACTAACACACTAATTGTTTTAAAATTCTGTATTGCAACGGGAAAAACAAAATTGTGCCAAAAGCATACAGTTATACGACTAGGGTTATTTTGTGTTCATGTTAGTTTTATGTTTATTTGTGTTCTGTAGCAGTTTTCAATGTGATACAAGGCGGTAACTGGTGCCTGCGTAGGTAGGGGAGCGAATCCGCTCAACTCTAATAAAGTTCGAATTGTGATTAAGCAAAGTTAGATTTTTTATTATATACGACTGATAGCTTTGTCAAACGACTTGACGCTACTTACATAACTATTTTTACATGTAATTTATATAAGTGTACGTTATAGGCCTAGGTTCGTTGTATTATATGTAAAAAGCGTGTATCTAATTTTGTACAAATGTAAACTAGTTCCTGTACAGCATAGGGAAATAATAACCAGTCACCGTACCATTCATATCTGTGTTTCATTCACCATTCTCATTTGCTCCTCTCAGTGTTATGAAGTAAAAAAAATGAAAAAGTGAATAACAAATGACGTGCAACATTATTATAAAGTACTGCACATCATGGAATCAGTTCAAGATTATATGAGCATTTTTTCAATATAAATTACTATTGTAAAATACTAAGAGAATTCAGTTAAATGTCCATCATTCAGTTTAAAACTTACCAAATTAAGTGCAATAGAAATACCTGAATGATTAATTTCAAATTGAAAAATTAATGGACACAAAACAAAGTTTACCAGAAATGAAGTAGAAGGCTGAAGTTTTTTTATAGTAGTAGTTTGCACACATTATTTACGAAAGTAGTATGTTTAATGTATAAAAACTGCTATTGAACAATACATTTTCAAAGCACATTAAATACAAAATCAAATTGCGAAACAGTCGATAAAGAGTGTTAATTTATGTAACCTATTTTGAAAGTAATCCACTTGAACTGGTGTTCTCTAGAAGAAATAAAATTGAGGAATAATTATTCTTATCCTTGGTTTTAAGAGTTTTTACTCAGTGCTCTCACATTGGTATTAAATCATTAATGCAATCAACACAGATATAATTTATATGCATTTTGGTTCTTAATTATATTTTTTACTTAAAGTCAGACCTGAAGTCGTAGTGAAATGAATTTATACTGGGGTAAAACCTAATGTATAATTATCATAACTAATTTTTAAAAAATGGGGAAAAGCAAAGTATGAGACTAATAAGTCCTCAATGTATATTATTGTATTCAAGCATTCAGGTAAATAAAAATAAAAAAGTGTAACTTACTCAAGTCAACTTTGAGTGCTGCATTGTGGGAGCTGTGTCTCATACAACCTCTTCAATCGCTGCCAAGTAAGTATATTATCAACTTAAGCATAATTAAAAACAATACTATTAAACTTCTTATAAAAACAAGGCTTTTCCAAATCAACCATTCAAACTTGCTAAGACATTTATTATGTAACGCAAATTAAACAAGCAACAATATTAACTAAAACGTAACATCGTGTCTTTAAATACCAGCTAAATGGAAACAATAACTCAGTAAATAATATTACCATAAAACTAAGCGTATGTTCATAATTAATTACTGAATGTTAGAATATGTATTTAAACGTTAAGCAAAAGGTAATACTTTGAACATGAACATTGCACTAAAGTAATATTAATAATTGTTTACATAAAAATTTATTTCGTTGATTTGATTGATAGTATCTTTCATTATAATGCACTAAAGAATATTGCAAAAATATCAACAGTGCACTTCCTCATCGAAAGTTCCCCCATGAAGCCTTTACAAGTAACCTGTTAATCGTGCACAAATGGGTTGTTTGTCGTAACCCAATACTGTAGTTCCTGCGTAACCTTGGTCCGTTTTCCCGCCAGCGTGGGACCTCTCCCTCCAAAACGCCGCCCCCAGCAGCGGTTTTTGCTCCCCTACTTAACCTCTGTAAGCGGATATAGCCGACAGTAAAATTTCAATCTTTTGACCATTTATCAGTGGCCTGACTAATGTTTCTATAAGCCTAAGCCCTAAAGGCGGTGAATAAATTCTAATTTGAAACTAAACGCTACATAAATCAGTCATACTAAGTACTTGGAGACGTTATGCTCTTGATTACGATGTTATTTATCATTTATAACGAGTTTTATCGACGTTGACGACTGCTTTTGTGATGCTTATCGTAAAAAGGGTGGTTCTAAATAAGGAGCACGTGTGAACTCTTGGGGAACTTCACAGTAGGAACATCCCCTAATTTTATTATAATTAGCGAAACTGAACCTAATCAATCTTTGAAATCCTATAAACTTCACTAACATTTAGGAACGAGCTAGTCTAGGTGTAGAGTGCGGGGCTTTGGTCTCAAAAGTCTCGGGTTCAAATTCCACTAATCACTGATGTATTTTTATCCGTGTTATTTAAATTTATCGTGCCGCAACCCCTGGGCCTAGTCTGAAGTGGAATGAAAAACCATCCCGAGGTTAAGCCAAGTAAAAAAAATACTTCACTAAAATGATTGAAATTAGATAGCCTTTGAAATTGAATAATCATTGGGCATTTTGAAATGGGAAAGTGATGTAAGTAAAGACTTATTTGTAAAGACTCTCGTGTATTAAAGTTCAGTCGCGGTGTTTACTTATAGTTTCGGCAATCATAAGGGTTCAGGTAAAATTCAAACAACAATAAATGTCTTAACAATGCAGTAATATGAAAAACTACTCTCTCATAATGAGTCGTCTATACTCTACAAAAAATGTCACCGTTATCTTCAGAACAGAGTCTGGTAATGTAGGAAACCATAGCAATCTTGTCCTGTTTATAAGTCCAAGCACACAATTAATTAAAATTTCAACACAAACTCGGCTAATCGCACGACAAATAGCATCCTTTGTTCAGGATTAGCGAAATGCGGGCCATTATGGTTATAAAATATTTAAAATAAACCAATTTCCTGCGAACCCTGTTATTAGGCTAATGGGCGAAAACGTCTTAATTTTATAATGATATATTGGACCGAACAGTAGCGCTCGGGCCGAACATCTCGAAATTGCTCGCCATCTGATGAATACCCACGTATCAAGGGTTAATAGGCCAGGTGGCTCACGCATGGGCTCGCTTTGTAGGTTTAGGAGCGCTGTTGTTATAGTTTATTTGTATTTCTGTTTGGTTAATTTTTAGAAAATTATTTCTAAGGATGAGTAATGAAAGGAAGAAAGAGTTGAGTTAATATTCAGATTAATTTACATGATTACACAATGGCTACAGGATAGTGTTAAAATTATATTGATTCTAGTGTAAATGTTATTTTAATCTTGTGTTTAGTTGCACTACACTATTGGCGTTCGCTTTTTTGTAAGAGAAAGGTCTCAAACCTGAGTTCCTTTACAAACGTCTTAGATACTAAATCTTACCGTATTTAGACCTTCGGTATCACAGTGTTAATAAAAAATAATCCTTGAATGGCCCTAACTGTGATATTTTTCTTTGAACACGATGTGTATTGATTATCAATACAAATTTAATGGGACACAAATGTAAAATAACAGATAAATGTTTTTTTCGAATCCAGTAATTAGCCACTGGTTTACCAAACGCTCGTTCACGTGTCTCTCTACCTCCAAAACTATCGGAAATATTTTACATGCCAGAGCCAAAATATTGCATTTTTAGTTTCATTTGCTTTTGTACCTTTTGATGGAAACTATTTTTGATTAATCTTGTAGGCAAATATACTTTTAAATGTCTTAATTTAATTGTGTTTAGCTATTATTGTGGCTATACATTAACTTTTGTTATGGGTCAAAAACGAAAATTCTGTCGGTAATTTACCTTTAAATAAACTCCTCAAAATTAAATTTACCCACAGCAGTTTCACATCAGAGTTTTGCTATCTTTACTATTCTATCACATTATTCAACTCTACTTTGTGTTACACAGTTAAATCTACCTTTACATCACATATTGAATTAACACCTCAGCATAACCTTTACACAACAATTCACACCCCGAGTTCAATGACCCCGGGTGTTCCACTTATTAATGATCCCAAACAGCAGAGTCACCCGCCAAACCAATGGTTTTGGAGGGAGATCGCGACTCAAATGTCAAAAATCGCGGTCGCAGCCAAGTAGGTTAGGTTAATTGAAAAGCCGTGTCGGAGCCGTCGGCATTTCGCTCATTCCTCCATATGGCATTGTCCCACCACTTTTATTGATCTTAGAGATCTCACGGTCGGCTAAGACACTTAAGAGTTTGGCATTTCGTCTGTAATCTCTGTGGACTGTGCGAACAGTGAGTTTATTGGGTCAATGGGATTAGTGATATTGGCGGTTTTTAAGCGCTTTGAAAAGTCAGTCTGCGTGCAAATACGTAATTGATATTGTAGATAAACAGATTGTGAGGTGTAATTTTTCTAATTTTGCACTCTGGTTTTTATTTGCTTATTAATTACTTGCATAACAGTTGTTAGCTTTGACAAACTAATCGAACAAAATTAATTTACAGAGATGCAATAATTTTACTAGAGCATCACCTTGAGTCATATGTTTACTGAGTCATTTGTACAGTTACGTATTTTTTCATTGTCAACATATTAGAAATATTTAGCTCTATACATTTTTACTTTTTTTAAATGTTCCCTCAATTAAATTATTAGATTTTAATCTACTCAAAATATTTCCTCTTGATTAAAATATTGTATATATGAGTCATCACAGGCATTTTATTCCCATGCCATACTACACTGCCCTTACCAGACTAAAAATAATACTGAAGCTCGTCAAACAAAAAATTCTGTAACTACTACAACAATCAAAGTCAAGTTATATTCAATAACCACCCTTAAAATCACACAACTAATAAAACCGTACTAAATGTGTAACTTGATTTACATAAATATAAAACTCGTGAAAAACAATAAACAGGGACGATATGGCGTGGCAAGCTATCAACACATACACACATTTGCATGTTCACGAGTACGAGGCGCGTATGAAAGCAACATGCGAACTTAGAGTGCACAGTGCAAGAGTTTAATAATTGAAAAACTTCCCTTGCTGGAGAATTCATGGCTCTTTCAAGTACGAGCGCAGCGCGTTCTCTAGTGCCGCCTTTCAGACAACACGTTCTTGGATGAATTCGCCATGGGCCTACTCATTATTTTTGTGCATCAATGGAAAGTATCTTTGTGAAGTGCTTTTATCATTAGAGATCATCTAATGACATTCTCACAATACATTCTCTGGTGTTTCCCATACGTTGTGTTAGGATTGAAGGATTACTACTAGATTTTTGGATTAATTTAAATCGTTTATTAAAATACAGTAACCAATACTAATTAGAAATGTGATTATAAACCGAATATTACAACTCAAAACTTTCACTAATTATTTTACAAGTAATATTTAGGAATGCCTAAAAATGTGAATTTTCAAATCTTAAATAAGGTACTGAACACTGTTC